ACCTGTGGTCCTCCCCTACCTCCACCATTGAGTGGGATAAGGATCATAAAAGCACACCTAATGTTTTGAAGATACTTGAAAATATGTTCTAGCTCTCTAGTCTTACCACCAATCAACCAATCTTTTGACCAATTCAATTAAAATATTTGGACGAGTTGATCATATTAGCTTTTATATTTATTTTTTCTTTTGTTGAGCTTGAAATGATAAGGAAAAATGACAATAAAATATCCTAAATTATACAAATAACAATTCGGTCTCTTGATATACCATAATTTTATTAAAATTTTTAGGGACTTTTTGTGTTAATAAATTTTAAACTGAAAAAAGCATTTTATCCTTATTAATAAATTGCGATTTCTCATTTAATTATTGTAATTTTTTGAATAAAAGTTATTATTTTTTAAATAAAAGTTGTGATTGAAGCTTGTTATTTTGAAAACTTATTTTTTAATAAAAGAAATTATACTTAACAAGTTTAATTTCTTGTTCAACTCTTACTATTCATAGAACGATAGTTATTATTCTTTAAGTAAAAGTTGTGATTAGAACTTGCTTTTAATAATAGAAATTGCATTTGACAAGTTGTGATTTTTTGTTCAACTATTATTTATTAACACAGAAGTCTTTTGAAACTTCAGTAGAATTATGGCACTTTAAGAAAACAATAATAGTTATTATTCATAAGAGTATGTTCAACTCTTACTATTCATAGAATAATAGTTATTATTCTTTAAGAAAAATTTGTGATTAGAACTTACTTTTAATAATAAAAATTACACTTAATAAGTTGTTATTTTTTGTTCAACTATTTTCATTTATAGAAAAATGTTGTAATTTTTAATAAGGGTAAAATTATCTTTTTACTTTAACATTTATCAACATAGAAGTCCCTTGAAACTTTAGTAAAATTATGGCATTTTGAGAGATTAAATTATTTTTTATATAATTCGGAAGGCTTTTATTATCATTTTCTCAAACGATATTGTTTTGAGTTAAAAAAAGAAGGAGAAGAAGAAATAGCAGTCCATCATATTTGGACTTAATAATTTTTTATTGGATTTTATTTTATTTATACACACACATTTCATTTACTTGTATACTAATGCCTTTTCATTTAAGTTTTACTCTTTGCAAGGTTTATTCAAATATTTTTATATTTTTAATTTGATTTAATTGTATTATTTTAATCAAGATTAGTTGAATTATAGACTCTTAAACCATTGTCTTAACCAGTTTAATGACTGCTTTAATTTTTAGTACCTTAAGAAATATCTATACATAATGTACCTATGCTAACTAATATGGTTTTGTTTGTTGATTTTAATGTAAATGCCTCCACTGTTTCACTATATTTGGTCTTTTTTTAAAAACAAAAGTTGGGGTGAGTTGGACTGCTTCATTATATTTTGTTATTTTAGGGGAAAATTTTTATTTTATATTACATGTTATTTTAGAGTTCTAAAACAATATTTAATGATTTTTTTCATTCTTATAGCAACATTCTACATCTTACATGGTTTTACATCTAGAGATATTAAATCCTGTAATAAATGAGGGGTAAATTTACTAAAAGTAAGTCATATATTTATATATTTATTATATTTCTTTATTTGTTGTGTGCAACCTTAAATGGAAAATAAAATAAAATAGAGGCAGCATTAAAATAGAATCATACGTAGAAGTACAACCTTCATTTGGCTGTTTCAGATTACACTCACATTGACATAGGAAATTAGGGAAGAAAAAAAAAAAAAGATGTCTGTTTAACTCTGTAACAGAGGCAGCAAAAATAACTATTAAAATACATGATTTAGGTTTTGTTTGCTTGCTAGAAAAGAATGAATTAAAAATATAAAGATAAAAATAAGATAATTAAGGTGATGAGCATATTCATGAGAAAGAGAGAAACTTTCATTCATGAGGTTATAAATCATAATTCATGAGATTTTTAGAAGGCTTGATAATTTTCATATTTGCAATATATAATAAGTTTTATCATGCTTGTAATGAGAGAAGAGTAATTTAGTTTATTTTTGTCTTTATTTTTTCAATTAATTTCATTCATTTCTAATAATCAAATGGGATCTTAATTACTTGTATTTGTAATAAGTTTTCAGAATTTAAAATTTTACAAATTGTTTAATTTTTGCCTTTAATAATCATTACGAGTGGTCATATGCTGGCATGTAAGAATCAAGGTTCTAGTTTTTGTGTTTTTCTTTTGTTAGTTTGGTTCAAATGTTCAGTGAAGTTATAGTATTTGTCCACCACAAGTGAGGATTCATTAATACAATTTGGAGGAATTATCCTTTTTTAAAAAAAAATTAATCTAAGTGCTAGATTAATATGCATATACTTTTATATTGATTTGTGAAATTTATTTTTTAAAAAAACTATATTCTTTTATTATTCTTGTTTGAAGTTCATAATGATTTTGTATTGACATATATTTCAGTTGCAAAACTTCAAAAAATAAATTACAAATAAGTTATAAATTGTAGAAAGTTTGTAAATTTGAAAAGATAGGTTGTAAATACTAGAAATTTAATTGCAAATGACAAAAGATTAGTTGCAAATAAGTTGTACAGTGTTAATCTAATTATAATTAAAGAATTTATCCAATTTACATTCTAACTTTAAAAATTGAGTCTTTTATTTTTATAATTAATTAAGGTTCTAGGACTTATTAAACAAGTGTAATTTACAAACTATTTCCAGTTCATATCTATTGTTTATAGTTGAGCTTATAACATTTGTACACAAACTATCAAAATTTACAAAGTTTTCATAATTCATACTTCCTTCATTTAAAAATGTAAGACATTTTTTGAGGAGTTGAATGTTAAAAAATATAAAACATTTTTAGTCTTTTGAAGTGTAATTATTGCCTTTTTTTCAATAGTATCCCTATTGATAATAATTTTATATTTATTGTAGGGTGTTTAATAGGGATAAATATGAAAAGATAAGGTTAGTTAAAAAGTAGATAACTACTTTACTAAAGTGATATTCAATTAAAAATGCCTTATATTTTTGAATTGAGGGAGTAACTTATTTGTAATATTTCCTTTTTGTTTTCTTTTTAAACTTTATTCCAGAAAATTTTGGCATAGGGTAGTTAGGGATAAGTTGTGTGTGTGTATGTATAGAGAGAGAGAGAGAGAGAGAGAGAGAGAGAGATTAGTTGATTAGTAATGTTGCATTTCGGGAAATTATTATTATTTCAATAGTTTGATTATACATTACTGACAAGTGTAACATTTTAAAGGCAACAAAGTCAAAGGCCTCCGTTAGTTTTGGAAAAGTTGTATGAATGATTGAAAAATAAAGAGCACTTTGCAATTCTCCCGGTCCCACCATTTGCATTATTGAAATGGGGCTGGAAAAGTAAACGGGAAACATGATTGCCAAGAGAAAATATGACATTAATTTGAATAAAATATAGATTTGATTTCATTGGTGTGGATTTTAATTCATAATTTATAAGGCTTTTAAGTTCAAATATCATTACTAATGTTAGGATTTTAATGGCATGTGATTTATAAATATTTTTATAAGTATTTTTTAAATTTAAAAGTATAATATATCATGATGTTAATGAATTGTTGAGACTCAACTCATTTAAATATATATGTGTGTGTAAAAAGAATTTGTTTTAAAATGAATCTCAAACTTGTTTTGTCGTTTATATTTGTTTTCATGAAATTATTATATGGTCTTTAAAATATTATAATTGTATAAAAATTACAATCAATATAAATTCCATGTAATATAAATAATAGTGGATTTATTTCCTTCATTCTTAATAAGAATTTTATTTTCTTAAACGTGTGGTTATGTTATATTAATACTTCATTTATTCACAAAAATATTTTTAATTAAATTATACATTTCAATAAAGTAGTCAGTTATATTTAAGTTAATAATTTTTTTATATTTATTTTATTTAATAAAGTATTTTATTTTAAAATAAATATAAAATAATATTTAATAAGTTTAGTTTTAAAAAATATATTAATTATATCTTAAAACACTCAATATACATTACATTAATTTTTTGAATGAAAAAAGTATAATTTAGAAGTCCACAATAATTTTTTTTTATTTCTCATAAACAATCTCCTATTGTAGCCTATTCAAGGTACGTAAAAATGAACCAGTCATTAAACCGGTCATAGCACTAGGTAACGGGTTAGTTGTTCAATCAGGGTTGAATCGGGGGTTGAACCAGTGACAAATTGGTGATGATTAAAATAATACAATTTATATAAAAAGACATTAATTATAAAAACATTCAACCAAATCCAATCACTTAAAAGTCTAACAATAATAAAATATTATATTTTTGGACTTAGCATGCTCTGCTTCTAATTTTTCATTTTTTGACTTCAATTTTACTTTTTTTATTATCTTATTTCCGAACTCAAAGCTCTGAAAAATTAAAAATGAAAAAAAATAAAAAAATGACGTCATTTTAGGGGGTAAAAGTCTGAAAAAATAATAACCCGGTTAACCCAGTCAACCCACCGAGTTATCCGGGTTATATCGGGTTACACCGGTTCACTCTCTCATCGGATTAAGAGTAAACTCAAACCGAACAAGAGATTGAGTCACTGATTTTTGAAATGATTCGGCTAGTTTGGTCTGATTATTAATACCATGAGCTTATTGGAACCATTTCAATTGGAGATATTATTGGACGGTAAGTGTGGAAACTTTTTTTCCGTTAAAACTATGTTGTGATAATTTTCTCACTGCCATAACAGTAAGAAAAATATTTAAAAAGAAAGAAAGAAAAGAGGGAACAAGTACGTAGAAAAGCTGTGGTGTGCAAGAAAATGATAAGGATGACGGTGGAAGCCGACAAAGCATAGGCGCATGGCTGTGGCTAGGATCTACTGAATTATTTTCCTTTGGATACAATAATTGTACGTCAAAATTATCACAACCAATTAAAGTCAGTGATATATATATATATATATATACACACATTTGACCTTAAAAAAAGGTTCGAGATATATCTGTTTTTCTCTGGAAGTGTGAGAGATTATTGAGTTCTTCTGCAGCTACTCTGCCGAATGCCAATTTGGAGAAATTGACCGAATTTTCTCATAAGCCAAAGGTAAGCTTGTGTTTGGTTTTTGTCTTTGCTTCTTCAGTTCATTCATTCAATACTCTTAAACTGTATCTTGCTTTTTGTTCATTGGGTGCATACGCAGTGAAAAAGCTTGTTTTGAAGAAGACCACTTGTACTAGGTTAGCTTCTGTTTGGTGGTGTTGCCCTGTTTCTCGGTTTCTGATACCTTTTCAGCATCATAAAGTGATATGTTTCTTAAGAATTTGCAGCATGGAGTTTTAGAGAAGTTCTTATTCGTATTTGTAGTTGGATTTGATTTCATGACCTGTTAGGTTATGTACCAAATTCTTATTCACTAGGATAAACTTTTATTGATGATTGAGATTTTTTTTTGTTGCTTTTTAATGTTTTATTTTTTTCAATAAAAAAATTAGTTGAGTTATAAGTTGCAACAAAATATTCATGATGTGATTGTGACCTTATGAATTTTTTTTTACAGGAAAGTTATTTCTTTTTTTTTTTAATAAGATTAGGAGTATCATTTGTTCAGATATTTAAGAGATTAATTATTTTCGTGGTTTGGAGAGTAAATAATTAATAAATCCCTCCAAAGTCCTATGGATTTTTAATGTTTTGTCAAATTACATAAAGATATACTTTTGTAGTATAGGAGGATTTTTTTTTGTGAAATTTTAAAAACCAGGGAGATTATTGATACACTTAAGTTTCCGACTCATACAAACTTGGCATACATTTAATTTTCCATAATTTATTTTATATTTATAAAAAATATGTATTAATTTCACACGCACGTAGGTACAAAAGGTAACTTGATTTCATAGATTTCATTGTTAAGAAGTGGTAACTAATAAGTAATTGTCAGAATACTATTTTCATTTATTTGAATCTCCTCAATTGAGTAAATTACAAAATTAAGGCTGTATCGAAATTTGATTTATTGGATGCTTAAGATTTTATCCTTTTAACTTTTTAAAATAGTTTTGAAGTTCATATAGTAAACATATCATTTTTACTTTACACTTTTTACGGCAAAAATATTATCTTAAAAAATTAAACTCCCCACATTGAATTTCAATAATTTATTTCATAATGCATGTTCAATTGAAGATCCTAGATTCAAGTACTTCATCCAAAAATTGAATTTGTTGTTGCTATGTTTTTTTTTTGATAATTCTTTGAAAGGAAATGCCTAGTGCTTAGAAAATTAATTGAAAAAGAAAGTATAAATGTTATAATAGCAACAACAACAACAAAAAATGAATAAAATTTTTATAAAACTGTTATTAGCTTGCATTGGATACATCAGCAACTACATGTCTTTTCTTAAGATGACATGTTAACTTTTATTAGTAGGATAACTAAAAAATAACAATATGAAAATCTGTGATAAAAAAATAAAAATAAAAGGTTGAGAAGGTTATTTTTAAATTTGTAAAGGTGAAGGAATTACGTACAACTACCTCAAACTTTATAGATGTTTTGTATATTTTATAGCATTCTTTTTATTAAAAATATTCCCTCCGTCTCTTTTGTGACTTTTAAAAAAATCATTTTTATATTTACCTATCATTTTAGAAGTTTAAGGCCTAACATTTTCCCTTCAAACCATAAGACTAGTCATGTATTCTGAATCTATATGCAGAAAGCTTAAACCACAAAACATAGTATAGGTTCTGAATAAACTGTAAGCAAGTTTATTGAAGATTACTAAGAGAGTATGCATAAGAGTAGATAATTATAACTATTTGTTTTAAAATTAATATATAGCATTAAATTATTGAATTCAATGTTTTAAATGTTCTTTCTTATTGAAAAAGAAACTTCAATTTCAACTTTCAAGACAAATGTGAATCTCTCAAATTGCAAGACATAACTGAAATGGACCTTCGTTGTTTGTTGTTGCATGCTCATAGATCTCTTACTTTGGATCACAAGAAAGCTGAAGACGGGTCAGGTTAGCTTTTGATCTTCTTGTTGTATTCTTTATTAGCTCCAATCCCATAAACTTAAATCTATAATTATTTTTATTCAGTATGCATGTTTTTTTCCCTTTTAATGAACTTTTGTTGGATATGCTTTTATCCATGTTTCTTGATCTTCAAAAGTGTTCAAAGTCTATTCTTTTTCCCCCTTAGTGTTCACAATCATTCTTATACAATTACATACTCCCTCCGTTAAAAAATATAAGACAGTTTTTTAGGAGTTGGATGTTAAAAAATGTAAGGTATTTTTAGCTTTTCGAAGTATAATCATTGTCTTTCTTTCAAAAGTGCCCCTATTGATAAATGACTTTATATTTATTGTAGGGTATTTAATAAAGATAAATATGAAAAGATAGGGTTAGTTTGAAAGTGAGTAACTACTTTATTGGAGGTGAGATCGATTAAAAATACCTTATATTTTTGAACGGATGGAATAGATAATTTTAAACCATAAATAGACCATTTTAACATGACACTTGGCATGTTTTGAACTCACAAGGATTTTAAATATAAGATGGTCATGGCATGTATGGGGTCAACATTACTTTTTTATTTTTTTCTTGTTTTTTCATCATTCATTTAGTGATAGATATTTTCTCATTTTACTTTGATTAATTCTTAATTTGATTGATGTTTTTTCATTTTTCATTATTTTCACCCTATTATTGATAATTTTGGCTTAAGAATATAATATTTTAAGGAGGCTATATATATATACACACAAAGAAGGTTAGCATATTTTTTTAGATAATTAATTGAAAAGAAATGCCAAGTGCTTCACTTACGCTTTTAAATTACACAAAATATTCTTGATGTGATTTTAGAAAGAATAATTTTTTTTTCACAAAAAAGTTACTTCTTCTTCGTTTTGACTAGGAGTATTCTTTATTAATGTGCTAGACTAATAATTTTTGAGGTGTGGAGGTAAATAATAGACCCCTCTCAAGTCTTAACTGGGTTTGTTTGTGTAAACAAAGGTTAATTTTATTTAGACAAAGATAGAAATTTTATTTATTTCTTTAATTAGTGATATTATAAGTCATATAAGTCCTAATTAATTTTTTACAGTTTTAACAAGTATCTAATCCGTCTCAATCTTTGTAAGATATTAAATCATTTTAGCAGTCTTTGATTGCTATGCTCCAAAACATTTAGGACCACTAATTTTATAAATAGTGTTACTTACATGAGAGCTTCCCTGCTTCGACTATGCCAAAAGGGCTTGATAGTTATAAATTATAAAAGGGAGATTATAAAAAGTGTGTGTGTATCTTGTAGTCAGAGGCTTAGGCACTCTATTATTTAATATAATAAGTTAATTTTCTTAAAAAAAAAACTAAGCATGATCATCATTAGTCCTAAAGTACTATTTTTCCCTTATTTGATACACCCAACTAGTTGTTTTGAATTACTATATCAGTGTGGACATACTGAGAATGTTTAATTTTCTGTTTTTTAAAAACATTTTTTAAAAAAATAAAAAATAAAAAAATTGTTTGGATAAGTATTTTGATTTTAATTGTTTCCAAAACTATTCTCAACTTTTGTTTTTAAAAACCAAAAATAATGAAAACATCTTACAACTATTTTCATTTCATTTTTTTGTATTTTTAAAATACATTATATATCTGACTATTGAAAGTTATAATCATATTGTCCAATCACTATCATAAGCTGCCACCTTCAACCGTTGATAACCATCGCTACAGTCAATTTTTAACTTTAAAATTTTTTTAAATTAACACAATCAAATATATTTTCTTTTTGTTTTGTTTTAAAAAATAATTTTAAAAATTGTATTGCAAAAAAATTTAAAAAAATAAAAGAATGAGACAAACAACCCTTTAACAAGATACCTATTTCCCTCTCAGACTCAAGGCAAGTATTGCAAAATCTTTCATGTTTTTTTTTATTCTTTAATTTTTTCACATTATATATAATCAGCAATTCTTTTATTCCCAATTTTATTGAGATTTTCTTTTACTTTTTTCTAGTATTGATATATATGGTATTCCCCCTATTTTAAATTATAAGACATTTTTGAAAGATATTTGACATCCCAAAAAATAGGACACTTTTACAAAAATAAGGTTTTATAAATAATTTTTTTAATATTATCCTTCTCATTATATTCTTTCTATTTAATATTATTTCATAAGCAGAGTATTAAATGAATGGCTTTCATAAATGGAGTATTCTTTAATATTATCCTTCCCATTATATTCTCTCTATTTATACTTTTCCTTTGAAAAAAAAATTATAAGATGTATTTAATGAATTTTATTAATATATATAATTTTATTTAAAAGTTTTTTATAATTTATAATGGATGAAGTAATATTTAGGTTAGTTAATTAAGATTATTTTGTGGGCAGGTGTGTGTGAGATCATTAATTAGGTGGACTTTTTTTCTTTTCTTTAATAATTTATTTTTAGGGAGAATTGTTTTGACGTCTCCCACAGGCCACACTACAATTAAAAATCACATTATCATTATTTCATTTTTCATTTTTACACAACTAAATTGTCAATGAATATTGTAGTATTTAGTTGTGTTTTGGCGACCATGTATGAAATTTTTTCCTATTTGTAAGCCTTAATTATTTGATTATGCACACAATGACAACCCTCAAATCATGTAATGAAATAGTCTTACATGACTTACACTCAATGCTTTATATCCCATCTGATTATTTATCTTTCTAAAGGATACAAATTTAAATTATACGTGTTAATTTATACTACATTTTACAGTTATAACATATTTTCTTAATCTTAAAAAATTACATTTTTAATATCTTTTGCTTTTATCAGTGTTATCAACAATAGCCACACTACTTATAAGTAGAGGTAGTAATTTAAATCAAGCTCAAAGGGCTATCTCATATAAACATGAAAAATTTTAGAGTTGGGTTTGAGAATTTAAAAAAATTTCTTTACTTTGGGCTTATTCAATTTGCTTGAATAAGCTCAAAGAAATTCAAGACAATCTTGAATTTGAATGAGCTTAGTGTGAATATTCAAATTTTTTTTTTCATTATTAGTAACATAAAATTAACCTTAACTTCAAATTTTACTCAGCCTTCACAAGCCCGTTCCCATACTTTCAGTTCATATATTTTACATTCCTAAATGAAATTTTAATGTTCTAGTAATTTTTTTTTACATTTTTTGAAAATATTTTAAAAAATAAACCCAAGCGATACACTACAATAGATCAAACTATAGAGAATGATTGTTTTTCTCAAAAGATGGTTGTCAACCCTCCTCTATTGCAAATCCTATATAAGATGGTTGTCCCATATTGAAGAAAATATAGGATGATTGTTGTAGAATCATCCTATACGAGATTCTAGATTTCAACCAAATTTGAAACTACAATGGCTAACCATCCTCTCTGTTCTGATATAGAGGACGGTTATGGCCATATAGGATGATTATGACTGTAATCGTCCTATATGGCTAGTTTGTTTTTTTTTAATAAGAAAAAGCAACCTATGCAATACAAAAATAGATAAAATTATTGATATAAATCAATTATTTTGAACTAAACTAACAATTTATAAAATATCTAAATTATATATTGGCAACTAAATTAATATATTCTTAGACTAAATATATATTATCACCTCATATTAGATGTAACTTACTTTTTGTATACATATTTGCTTCTTCAATAATCTCATTAATATGTGTGTCCTCAAAATGGGGTGTAGCAAGTGTGGATAATATCACAATATACATGACAATAAAGTTAGTTGATGACAATTAAGATTCATTATAATATGAAAAATTAATTTATACTAAATGATATATACTGTGAGGAGGATTATAGATTGCCCATGATTGATGATATCTTTAGCATACCTCATCACACAGTAGCTACAATCATGACTGTTGTTAATTTGTCAAGATACTACATGAAGAAAATAATAAATACATACGTTATTGATATAAAAAAATAAAAAATTAAGTAATTGGCTATAATTTAAACATATATATACTACATTCCATTCAATGGTATCCTTGTATTTCTTGAAGAACCTCTTGTTGGAAAGATTGGCATCAATGCAATATAGTACAATAGCCTTAATATAAGGAAGACAAAAATGTTAGAGAGGTAAAATTTTGAAAACAAATAAAATCTTAGCTACTAAATATACTTACCTATTAAATAGCTCCATCATATCAGTCGATTAGTTGGATCCAATTTTCTTCTTTGCATCTTCTTATTGGGTGGTTAAGCATATAACCATCCGATAAGACTCATCATATCTAATTAAATTTGTAGGAGTGAGTTTAGGAATATGAAAGGGTTTGGTTGTGAGAAGGAATAATTGTATATTATATTTCAATAAGTAACTATTCATTAATTAATAAGTATCCATTCATACTTAACAAAAAGGCATTCATTATTTGACAATTTTAAAAATCTAAAAAATTTGGTTGTAGAAAGTAACACGTGTAGATCATGTTTTAATAAGTAATAATTTGTGAACTAACAAGTATCTATTCGCATTCAATAAAAAAAAAATTTTTTAGTTGACAAGTTTTAAAAAAAGAAAAGAAAAGCAGTGGTATTATAGTCCTTTTTCCATTGAAAATTATTTTCAAATATTTCAAAATCTTCTGGTTCTTATTTTATATTAATTTGCCTTAGTGGTCCTTAAATGCTATTTCCCCCTTTTTTCTTCTCTTTAATTAGGGTTATTTTAGTAAATTTGCTTCACAAGTTATTTTCATTTTAGTCATTTGGTATTGCATTGTGTTTTTAGATTTTATTGGTCTTCAATTGTAGATATATTTCTTCATCAGTCTTTAAATAAAATTCTCCCTTTTAAAATTTTCAACTATCTATCCCAACTATTTATGTACAAGTATCACATTTACTCCCTCCTATCTTTATTATATGGTTCTTTTTAGAAGCATTTTTTATTTGTTTTTAATATATGTCACACAATGAGATATTTAT